AATGCGTTCTTATTGTGTGTAAATTTGGTGTCACATCAGCAATTCGCAACGACTGGTCAGGGCAGCTTTGACTTTGCACTGTAGCTCAACTCCTGACAGCACATCCAGTTCAGCAGCCATTCTCATCCTTTCTGCCACACATAAAGCCTGGATCTGGATTAAACTCTGTCTATCAGCATGGAGGGTCCTTCCCAACCACAGACCTTTGGGAAGCAGGTTTCTTCAGACCTGGATGTCTGCAAGACATTTTAGCAACGTGTCAAGGGTTAATCCTGATGATCGATATGCACTCATATACACAGCCAACACAAAAAGTCTGTTACACTAGCGTCACAAGACATATGCAGTCATTTTTACAGAAACACACTGAGTCGACACTGACAATATTTTATTAGAATAAACAAAACAGGAAATGATGCACAACACAGCTGCTTAACTTAAAAACCTAAAGTCCAACTGACATTAAATTGCACTTGTTTGCTACGGCATGCTCTGTAAATCACTTGTCCTTTGAGAAAAAAAATCAGAAATCGAAAGTGAGAAATGTGTTTTTAATACTTTTTTGATTTCAAAAAACATTTTTGTGTTAATTTGACAGAATTCCATTAGGATCGGCATATGTAGATGGATACGTTATATTGACACAGCCAATCAAATTTTGCATTATCAGCATTGTGATATATGCAGAGCAGACGGTCACACCACCACATTAGCTGTGCTGCTACCGTCTACTTCTTATCAAACCTACAAACATAAACACGTCTTGTCCTGCACCTTAGCTTGTTGAACGAGCAGCCAAACAAACATTCACCGGGGAAAAGTGCACTGCTAACGGAAACATGACAAGGGGCCTATGTTCCCTGGGTCCTGTCCCCAGTTTTAGGGTTAGGGTCGGAGTTATGGAAGATAGGACTCTGGGAAGAAAGCTACATTCCTGTTTGCATGCTACATAGCTGCTCAGCTGCAGAATGATAAACAGCATGTAAACGTAACTGCAAATTTCACTTGGCGTCTTGTTAGATGCTAGCCTGGGAACCAGACGAATCTGCGAGCTCATGTTTCATTGGACCCCTCCAGTTCAGACTGATTTCTACCCGTCCTGGATCTGGTCAGGTCAATATGGAGCAGTTTTGATATGGTGACTGACAGACGAGCTCCAATGAGACATTTTCACAAACAACCAAGATGGTTCCCTCTGATGTGGAGCTGTTTCTGTTGAATCCACTATCACGTCAGTATTAAACAACCTGGATGGTATATTCTATTTAAAGAACAAATATTCTATTCTATTTAGTAGAAGAACAAACAACTGTGCTTTTGTTGATAAGAAAGATGTGTTTGCTGCACTTCTGACAGGATTTGTTAAGTTTAACTTACCAATTGCACTGCATGACACGTTTCATTGCTCTCATTGGTTATAAGTCTATCCAGTTGCATCCAGAGGCATTTTGGTCTGCACCCACTGATAATGCCCCTAAGAAATAGAAAATGCGGTTCCATGCCAGGCTAGTTGGATGCCAATGTGGTCCTTGATCTTCACCACCACTAACAACACGCTGTCTGTCCATGACATGTAGCTGCAGAACTAGTTTGTTTACTTTGTCTTTCATTCCCTGCAGTGTAACACCGGCAGCCTGCCAGCTGCTGTCAATCAAGCAGACATCCACCCACCCCCAACCCCGGCGGAAAGAAGCATTTCTGATATTTCCACAAATACCCTTTTTCTTCCTTTTAATAAAAACATAAACAATACATTTTTGCTTTTTACTGAAAAAGATGACTAAATGTGATATCAGTTGGACTTCAACCCTGTAATTCCATCCGTTGCTTTCCACTGAGGCACTGCAGTCAGCTAACTTCAGGACGTCGAACAGCAGCTGACAGTCCTCATCGGAACTGTGGGAGGAAAACAGATGCTCTAAATCACAGAACTTTTTGTCAACAGGAACATCACAGTGCATACACAATAACATTTCAGCAAACTCTTACATCAAAATAACCCTGTCTTCTTGTGCATGTTGCATTTAAAACTCAGCGTGCGCACTTCTTTTTTCCCGGGGCAAGCTAGGCTTTTTCTCACAAGGCGGGATGATGCTCAACTCGAACATCAGTGACACAAAATGTTTTGTCATGTGACTCAAGAATGAATCCCTTGTATCTCTTATTAGCCCAGAAAAAAATCATTGTAAAACTGTTAAAATGGTAAACAGCAACATTTATGTAACACCTTTGCTGTGCATTCACCCATCACACATGCAGGCAGGGTGCTGGTCTACTATCAGGAGCAATCTGGGGTTCATTGCTTTGCTCACGGGAACTTGGACATGTGCACAGGAGGAATTGGGTATCAAACTGCCAATCCTGTGATCAGTGGAGGACCCACTCCACCACCTGAAATATCACCCCACCACGAACCAAATAATCTAAATACAAATGGAACCATACATGGATCAATGGCCTACATTTTTACTAAATTAAAAATGAAAAATACATAAACAGGAGGTGGCCTAATGTTTATTCTTCATAGAGGACCTCAACATTGCAAATTAAGAATTTCAAACATTTCACTATCAATTAATTTTGAGTGTTTGATTGATTGATTATTTGCAAAATTTGTAAAACACTTCAAAAACACTTTTTCAAGTGTTTTCTAATCTCGCAATTTTTGAAGGCCTGTCCAGTATTGGCCTCGGAAAGGAGGACTCTATGTGACTGTGTTTACAGCCATCACAGTTTGGAGTCTGTTGAAATTTGTTTAGTAATGTTTTAAAAGTAGTTTGCAATTTGCAAATTTCTTTTCTAATATGCTGCTACTATATTAATCCATCGTTTGCTTTACTACTAGTTCATCACGCACAATACAGTGTTAAGGAACTGAAGATGAAATTAGGAAATTATCATTTGGCCAGGGTAATGTCAATATTGTTTAGGGAGGACATCCTCCATTCGAGGATCATTTTACGTGTTTTGGACAGTTAGCATGAAAAAAGAGAAATCATTGAATTGATATGAGAGACCCCGACCAAAGGAGGACGGCATGTACTTGTCCTCTCCTGCCTCTCACTACCACTTCACACAGACTGCCCTTTCCCCTCCTGCCTGCTCTGAAGGCTTCGCTGTAGATAATGGGTTTTTTCCAAAGAAGACAGAATATTTATTTTAGAAATGATACTGCAATTTGGTAATGGTTTATATCAACCAACCACACTTTTTAATTTTGTGATCTACTTCTTATCTCTGAAATAGGAGCAGCAAACTCCTCTATTAGTATGGACCAGCCTCCTCTGATTTATATAAACATATACAGTCGTGGGAAAAAGTGCCTCACCTATGCCTATTGCCACCAACTCTGGTTTGAGTCTGGTCTGACAGAGATGGGTGGAATGGACGCATTTCAGAGGCATTTTAGTGCAGACAGTAAAAATGGAACCATTTCATTGTCACAACAGGTTGAAGGTTAAGTTGTCACAGATGACTGAGTTTAGTTTAGAGGATGGAAACTGAATCTGCTTGCTTCAGGGCCATTTCAGGAGGACATGAGGTGTAGGTGTAAGCAGGAGCGTCAGCACCACTGTGTGGCCAAATTGGGAAATTACATGTAGGCTGACAGTAAAGTGACTACAGTTACAGCATGTAGCCTAATCTTTTTCAACAAAGCCAATGTATATTTTTACAAACTCATGGCAGCTTATATACATTTTCAAACTGCAATATTAAATGTTGTATATATACAAATAAATGTACCATGTTACATTTATAAAGTACAACTCATCTAAGCTGCATTGAAATTTAGTGCATGTCCAATAGAGTTGATATTTAAAAAAATAAATAAAAAATAATACTTTAATGAGGGATAAAAATGCCAAACGCAATAATAATGAACATTCTTCTATAGGCACCCTGCTCATATATTTATTATTTGTTTTTCAATGTTGATTTTTATTTAAGAATGTTAACTATAATACACCGATCAGCCATAACATAAAGATCACCTGCCAAATATTGTGTAGGTTCCCCTTTTGGCGCCAAAACAGCCCTGACCCGTCGAGGCATGGACTCCACTAGACCTCTGAAGCTGTGCTGTGGTTTCTGGCACCAAGACATTAGCAGCAGATCCTGTAATATGCAAGGTTGGGCCTCCATAGATCAGACTTGTTTTTTCCAGCACATCCCACAGATGTGCGATTGGATTGAGATCTGGGGAATTTGGAGGTCAAATCAACACCTTCAACTAGTTGTTGTGTACCTCAAAACATTCCTGAGGCATGTTTGCTTTGTGGCAGGGCGCATTATCCTGCTGAAAGAGGGAATACCATTACCATGAAAGGGTGTGCATGGTCTGCAACTATGCTTAGGAAGGTGGTGCAGGTCAAAGTAACATGCAAATGCACGGAGAGATCCATGTGATTTAGAACGTGATTCATCAGACCAGGCCACCTTCTTTCATTGCTCCGCGGTCCAGTTCTGAGTTTCAGGAGCCCATTGTAGGTGCCAACAGTAGTGGACAGGTGTCAGCATGCACACCCCCAACTCATCTGCGACTACCCCTCCCCATATGCAACAAACTGGGATGCACTGTGTGTTTTGACACCCTTCTAACAGAAGCAGCAATAACTTTTTCTGCAGTTTCCCGTACAGTAGCTCGTCTGTTCGATCAGACCACGCGGGCCAGACTTTGCTCCTCACCTGCATCGGTGAGCCTCGGATGCTCATGACCCTGTATATCTGCATTTCCCCTTTTGATCGGTGTATATTTATATCAAGTCATGGCAATTTTATTTTTATAGCCCTGACGAAATTCTGCACTGTTGATCACTTTTATTCACTTTGATTGATTTCTTTTATTTTGAACATGTAAATAAAAGAAAAAAAGAAAAAGAAAAAAAAAATCAGAGAAACAAAAAATAGTGATAATAAACACATGAACAACAAAGTAAAATTCCAAACTTTCCAGTACTTAAAAACCTCTATTTACATGTGCAAAAAGGAGTAGGAAGAAGTAAAACTTACTACTTTATTTATTTTGTCTTCATTTGACAGTGAAACAGGAAACATGGCTCCGCAGAGAGAGGGGGAAACGCCATCTCTTCCCGTTTATCAGTGACAAAAAGAGTCAGGAGGATAAAACAATTGGAAAAAGGTCTGAAGCACTGATAAGACTCAAACAACACAAAGTCTTGGGTAAAGACAGGGGAGAAAGAGAAAGACCAAGTGACATAAAAGACAGAAAGAGGAGAGGTAAGCGCACAGCTTATACAGCAGTATTTCTGGAAGTTATAAATGTTCTCATCAGCAGGGCTGACATGGACTTAGCCCTTAATCCTAATACAAACACTGAGTGAGATCAATTCAGCGGAAGTAAATGGTAACAGCTATGAGAGCACCAGAGTAGCCGTCAGAATAGGCAGTGACTGAAAGCTAATGTGAAAATATGACGTTTAAATGAGGCAGCTTTCTATGGAAATTGTTCCATAGAAAGGTTTAATAGAAATCAGCGGGCTGCAAGCTTTATGCCATTGTTTGTTTATATTCACATATTTGCATCATCGACCACTTAACATTTATTGTTGTACTTTATATTGACCAGTGACAGCCGTTTGTCCCACAGAACTTAAAGCTTTGCTAATCTAATATTATTATCCGGTACATTACTCTGTTTGCTCGTGTCTTCTGATTGATCTAGTTGTTGGTGTTCTTAATTCAAAACACAAGGTTCAGAACTGCGGTTTATCGCCACATCATAACCAACCACACCTAATAACCAAGCCAAATTCATAATAAATACGTTGTTTAATTATGCTATGCATACAGGATAATTTTTTTAAAATACTATATGATCATATAAACACTAGCATGGTTTTAATATACAATTATCATCATACAAAATCATCAGAGGATGAGACAGTCCACCAGGTACAACCACTTAAGAATGTGTCAGGGGTCTGATTAGGAGACCTGTTCAAGTTTGTGGCTACTGATGGTCTGCAGGGGTAGACTACATGACTTTGAGGCCCTAGAGAAGATAAAAGCATCAGGGCCCTGGACAAAATATAAATTCAAGATTGCACCTAACTGACTTCATTTGTGTGCACAAATTTACATAATACTATCTAACATATGTTTAAGGAGTGTTGAAGATAACAATGTTTCCGGATATATCCATGCATCTCCATTTGAAATAAAGACTAACGTGCATTAAATCAAGAAAGGCTCGTCGCACTACATGTAGGAGCTAGCACATACGCCCGTGTAGCCGAATGCAACTAAAGCTAGAGGGACAACAACACATGCATTGAAACCAATAACCTAACTAAATGAATATTAAGGAATGCATTTGGTATTTGTCAATGCCAAAACACAGCTGCTAGCCTGCCACTATCACTGTGTGCTGCTCCCTACATGACTGGAGTAGACAACAGCTTACGTCAGTACCAAATGCTGCAGTTTTACACTTTACTGTTAACGTTAATGCGCTAAAAGAGTGAAGTGAAAGATGTCTTCCCATGGAAAATCTACTTACTGTACTTTTGTTTTCTGTAAGGGAATTTCAATGATGCACTTTGCCTGTTGAAAGTTATTTCTGACATCTCTTAAAGCTGCTTTAATCAACATTTTTATATAAACAATGGATAAAATGGCATGTGAAGTGAACGGAGTTACTCTGGTAAACCAACTGAACACTGCCTGCCCAACACCAAACAAAGTTCCCAACTAGCTGGTGAACATTGTTGATCATTCACCAACGCAGCTAAAAAACAAAAAGGACATTTAGTGTTATGTTCCTGTCCATGTGCACAAATAATTCATTTTTAAGAAACAAATGAGGTCATTGATTTTTTTGTGCTTATAGATTTGTCCCCCCCCCCCCATGCCTCTATGACACCTGCAGCGCTGTGTACTGACCAAGTTCTGTAGCTCTCTTGTAGCAGTTGTTACAGAGGCACAAAGACCAAAGCCTGAAGGGAAACTGTGATTATGAATTAAAGGGTGTGTATTTGACTCTTGAGTGAAGTAGTAGTTTGTCAATAAAGTAATAATTTTATTGGGCTTTCATTTATTGGGCCCCTCTGGCTGCTGGGGCCAAAAACAGTCACGTATCTTCACTTCTGGTTGCTACAGGCAGGAATGAGTGGTGATGATAGCACCTGCCACCCTCTCAGTCTCCCGCTCTAAAACACAAAGCCAAACACACTGAGCCTGCAAGTGAACATGACTCATAAATCTTCTCAGAAAATGTGTGCTATGCTGAGTGCAAGAACAACCAGTTCTGCCGAAAGATGCCTTTTCCAGGCAAGTGTAGTGTAGTCTGTCATAACAAGGGTACGGCCTTTCTAAACGTGCCGTCAGTTGTCAAAGAAAGCGTGACCAGGAGTGTCGCAACTCTTGCTGTGGTGCTGTGTCACAGCGTAGCAGTCACAGTCTGCAGATCAAACATTTTAAGATTTTTCATTTGACCACAAAGACTGGAATTTTAAATTACATTATATCATAAAAACATCAATGTATGTTCATGTCTGGGTGATTTTGATTTGAGAGAGGAAAAAAAAAAAAAATTTGTATCCCCTTCTTTGCACATGTCACAGTCTGGTCAGTGTGCTAGTAACGGTTGGCGTCGTCGTAGGAGGAGGTTATATCCAAGTCGAAGTAGTCCTCCAGCTTCCACTGCAGGGTCTCGAATGTGGGCCGGTCCTGCTCGTTCTCCTTCCAGCAGTCTATCATTATGTCATACATGACTTTGGGGCAGCTGGGGGGGCACGACATTCTGTAGCCCTGGGGAACCCTCTGGACGACCTGGTAGTTCGTCATGGCTGGAAGAATCACAGAATGACATTATAACTCATCTCGCAGGAGATCATTATTTTGCATTAAATGTTAACCTAGAAGGTTTTGAGCCTTTTGATAGCAACGTGAACCATAGAACATCTGCGTGTTGACCTTTCAGAAAATTCTGAATACACCACTCCCCCCTTTCTTTCTTTTTTTTTTTTAATCTGTAAGTTCAGGGAATCATTTCTAAATGACTTATGATGTTGATGAAATTCTTACTTGGGTAAGGCATCTGTCCGAATGTCATGATCTCATACAGCAATATTCCAAAGGACCATACGTCAGATTTGATACTGAATTTGTTGTCGTGGATGGCTTCTGGAGCGGTCCACTTCACGGGGAATTTAGTTCCTTCTTTGGCTTCATACACATTTTCATTCTCTTTCTAGAGACAAAGCAAGGCACACAATACAGATTTTTACATTCAGTCAGTCAGCTTTAGAGTAAAGATCCTCATTTCCTGGATTTTACAGGGGTATTTGACACATCGGGGCAGCACTGTTGTAAACACAATATATCTGTGATAACACCTGAAGTGAAACAAACCTATGGTCTACATCACTGCTGTCAGTGGGGGTAGATGTGGGGTGAGAAGTGTGTGTGAATGTTCTAAAGTGTATGAAATAAATAAAAGGAAACCGAGGAGGAACTAACGCTGTCACATTACATAAGAAAAAAAAACATTTTTTGGTGACTAAAGACTGCAGTATTCATCATCACGCTGCAGCCTCTGCCCTGCCCGAAGTGTTGTTAGACACATGCACACGCCCACACGCCCCAGAGACAGAACCTTAATGCAAGAAGTGCAGAAGTGCGAGTAAAAAGCCAATACTTTAACAACACAACAAGCATAAACATGTAGAAAGCAATACTTTAATCTGCTCTGTCCACAGCATGCTAGCTCGGCTAATTGCCAATTGTTACAAATGAGCTAAAACGAAAGCCGTCTGTCTGTGGCCTAACTTTTTAATCTTAGTTTGCAGCGTAGCTTCAAAATTTGGCACACTGTTGTAAACTCAGCTGCTGGCTGAGACAAACCAGCCGCTCCTCTCTACCAGGTAACGTTACCTGCAGGCAGTGAACCACATCCACAGAGAGAGGAGGAGGAGTTTTTCCATTTTTTCTAAACATCACTCAGTGTTCTGATGTCAGGAATGTGATTTTCTTTGCTATGTTAAATTTGTTTCCACTGAGACGTCACTGAGTGTATATAGTGATTTTATATTTCAAATATTCAATTCTAACCTTCTTCCTGAATTTAAAGACAAATAGTACGCACGCTTAAAAATTTGTGTATTTATCACAAGTCATATCAACATTGCAATACTGAACAATGTCGTCACATCTCAGATTTTCCTCTTATCGAGCAGGCCTAGTTGGGAACACCAGGTCCAGGTGTTACCAGAAGACACCAAACGGCGCATGCCAGTTAATGAGGGCAGCATTTATTATTAGTGGTGATAATATGTGAGCTCGTTTAAGTTTCACTTCAAGGTATTAATACACTCAGCAAGTACAGGCCCCAACACCTTCCAAGCTTCAGTGTATGATAAGTTTATTTACCAAAGTATTTCTGTAGTGTACATTTATAGCTTAGTGATTACCGAGACCATCCCACTCCATTCAGTGTACAATCCCACTTTAAATGTCAAACCCACCATGAAGACCCGCGCGAGGCCAAAGTCAGCCACCTTGCAGATGTTGTTCTCGCCCACCAGGACGTTCCTGGCTGCCAGGTCTCTGTGGATGTAGTTCTGTAACTCCAGGAAAGCCATGCCTGCTGCCACCTGGGCAGCCATCTCAATCTGGTCAGAGATACGCAGCACAATGCCCTTATCCTCTAGAATCAAAGTAGAAAGGCACATCAGTAGCAGTCCAAGCATGTTTGAGGCATCATGGGTTGCAGAGAAAGAAATATAACAGTAAAATAACACATTTGCATTATATGGTGCTGAATACCACATTGTTAGTTTATTTGAACCTTTTGGCTTGTGCTAGAAGCTAGTGGCCGGCGACTCCTCCTACCTTTTGCTCCAAACATGGAAATTGGACAAATCAAATTAGGGTGGAACGAATCATTTTTAAATTGCAAATTTTCTTCTAAATCACATGGCAATGACTCATGTTCATGTCTTAACAAGCTAAAAAAAATAATAATAATAAATACAAAAAGGAGGCATTATAACAATTCCACGAAGTGACAAATTTACTCAGCTGTAGCTAATTATCCACCATTCTGTTCTCTGTCCAGAATGTAAAATGTAACACTTTGCACATGCTTCTGTTAAAACATTAGTATTTAGAGGTTTGAAGATATCTAACGGGATTAATATGTAGATATCTAATGTTGATATTTTGTTAAACTCTTGTGGAGAGATGTTCATTCTACTGTACTGAATTATACACATATACATGTTTCTATTATCTTGTAAATCCCATTTATGTCTGTAAGGGTAGGCTAAATAACAGAAACACCTCTCTGTATAATGCAAAACAGTTCAACAGCTCACAAAGTACATCCCTCTGAATGACCATCAGTTGAATCAAGACCCCATTAAAACAGTTTTAACTAAAACCGAACAATAGAAGCTTCATGACGTCACAGCAATTTGGGTCCGAAAAATTGCAAAAACGAGTTTTTCCTCAAATCGTTTAGCCTCCAGTTAAATTAAATGTGAACAGGGTAAAATGATTTTTTACTCTGTGTTCATGTCAAGTTTAAATATCAACCATTTTATTCAATTATATGGTATTTTCTACAGCTTTACCTTGGGCAAGGACATGGGGGTGTGTGCGGATTCAACCTGAGCAGATAACTAAAACTTCAGAATAACCGACACCTGTGCGGGTCTTTAAACTCTGGGAAACCTGACTTACTCACCTTTTTACAGTTGTGTTTTTAACGTTCACTACCCTTATAAAGTAATAGCAGCTACAAGCTAGATTGTGATTCTTCATACTTGTGTGACTTTGACACAACGTGTCCTAGTCATGAGATGTTACAGTGGAGGGGTGTATGATGGATTATGATTGATGTGGGTCACCACACAGACTGTCTCAGGGCTGCAGACTTCAATTCCACATGAGCTCTCCTCAGAGTGACCATCATTCTAAATGGATGTGACACTGTCTCACACTACAAGTAACTACAGGTTTTTCAGAATACTAGCCTTTCAGTAATTCTTTGAAGTCTTCCTATAAATTGTATATCTATAGCATTTAAAAACGCTGCCACTGCCCCCAAGCTCATCCATCAAATAATTCATAATGGTTTTGCTTTCAAAAAGCTTGTTATAGAGCAAACTGCATCATAAATCACAAAGAAAAGCATCAGATCTTCACAACGTTTGGCATTTTTGCTTGAAAATGATGATGGTGATTAATCAATGATCAAAATAGTTGACAATGAATTTTCTCGAAATTGACAAATCAATTAATCAACTAATCATTTCAGCATTAGATTTTATATAAAGAATCAAATATTAAAGCAAAAATAAACACCACAACTGACACAAATTCAGCCAAACAAGAACAAGATGTATAAGCAACATGACATTAAGGCAGTTTAAAGAACCGAACGGATCCTCTCAGCATTTGTTTCACAGCAAGAAAATTTGAGCATTAGCATTTCAAGAAGTTCTCTATTGGTTAAGTTTTGCCATTTGGATAAAAGATATCCAAGTAGACATCATAGCAAAAATGTATTTCAGTGTGTTCATTACTTATTTACATGACATTACAAACAAAAATGGTGAAAATGTTACTTTTACCACAAGGCTACAGCCAAGTCAAATATTTAAAAAAAAGTTTTCAAATGCCCTAAGACAGTGGTTGGCAATAGGCGGCCTGTATATATATTTCTGGCCTGTTTGCTTTGATAGCAGAAATATAAAAAATAAATAAATTGATAGCGGCTGATGCTGACACAGATCTCAGTCATGACAGCAACAGTTACTCACATAATCACTTCCTCTTAAATGATCGCGCCTCCAAAATGAAAGTGTGAGACCGTGTTTTGCAGCAAATGCTTCATGCTGAGTTTGTTGAGAGCTTTTACTTACTTGACACACCTCTGAAAGCCGTCAGTAAACGTGTGATTGGATTCTCCTGAAATTCCTCAGGGAAATGAAGATTAGTGTCCACAGGTTTATGAATGCGGATCAAACGCCGTTACGCGCACACACACTGCAGATTATTGCGAGCATGTGAAAAAGTGTCCTTATAGGCTAATCAATTTGTTTAACAAGGGAGAAAAAGAGTCCACCGGTTTTTGGGATCGATCATACAACACCTTCAACGGGAGTCCCGCACTCTCCCGAGTTAAACATGCACATGAGTGAAATAATTTGACTGAAGTAATGTTCTGGCCCGCCATGTAAAACCATTAAGACCAATACTAATTTGAGGATTTTAAATTCGGATATTGGCCAGTCCCCCCCCCCCCTTCTTTTCACTGATACTAGAGACGTTTTATAGAGGAGACTTTGCACAAGAGTTTTGGACTAAGTTTAGATTTACTGCAGGGTGTAAATGGTTTTGTTGCTCTGGCATAAATCTCTTCTGTAGCCTGACCCTTCCACAGGTGGATAGGTTGTTTTCAAAGAACAGCAGCAACACGGGACTCTGATCCTGTCAAGTAGCTCATAAATCACATGCGTAAATGAAAGTGAGCTCAACCTACTCTGGAGGTACTCCAATAGGCTGCCATTCTTCATCAGCTCTGTGATGATGTAGATGGGCTGCTCCATGGTGCAGACAGCGTACAGCTGGATCAGCTTGGCGTGACGCAGCTTCTTCATGATCTGCGCCTCTCTCAGGAAGTCCTCGGGGTCCATGGTACCTGCGAGAGTGGTCGTATATTAAACAAGGAACGGTGCCTTCCTACAATTTTTTAACATAGAATTTTACTTAATACTAAATTCTGACAATTCGCCTATAATGAATCCTACTAACCACTTACAATGTTACAGAAACTAATGACAGACAGGTTACTCCTGGTTTTCTAAAATAAACATGCACCTTATTGCTTCACCTTAAATTGTTTGTTTCTGATTTAACACCTTCAGTCAGAGAAAATGAGGCATTGGTGTACCAGGTTTGAGGGTCTTCACTGCAACTGCTGTGGTTTCGTTCCACAGGCCCTCAAACACTTCTCCAAACTGACCGGCTCCCAGCTTCTTCAACAGCTTGATGGAGTTGCGGTCAATCTCCCAGTGGTCCACAGTGTTGTAGGACAGACCGTGAGTCTGTGGAGCCTCCATCTACACAGACAGGCAGACACACCATTTACTGAGAGGACAATGTGACTGTAGGCTGTATGAAAAGTGAACTTTGGGATTAAAAACAAGTCACTACTGGAGTTCATCTTACATTGTACAGTGTGTTTTACCTTTTTACATGGTTCACTCAGACAAACACAGAGGCCATCTGCGTTTTTGGAGTAATGTTCCACTAACTCCTTCAGTGTTTGAAAGGATCTAGTCCTCGACACGTAGACGTGACCATTCTCCAGTTTTTTCAGCTTGTAATGCTTCACCCTCCCAGTGTCCAGCACTGAAAGACAGGTCAGCATCAGTGATATACTCAGAGAGTCAAGAACTGCATAAGTAATGTTTCCTAAGGGTAGACTGAAGTTTTTTATCAAATTAAGCCAACATAGGTCTGTTATGGTCTTGCTTACACAACCAGCATGTGACTAACAAGCTTAAGGCCCTTTTTTAAACCATCTATAGCGCAGGGCCGGCCCCAAGCATTGGTGACATAGGCGGTTGCCTAGGGCACGAGATGTCAGGGGGCGCCGAGAGAGAAGGTTTTTGAACTCTGCGCGAATCAACTCCGCCCAGCTGCTGATCGCCGTAAAAGTCCAGACCGTCATGACGAGTTGTGTCATTGTGTAGAGTTTTGCAATATAAACATCTAAAACCTGAGGCACAGCCTTGCTCTGTTTGGGACTGTGAGCTGCTGAAGTGAAAGTGTGTGGATTTGTGGTGAGTGTTTTCCTGTTGGTTTCGGTTTCACGTGCAACATGCAGTCCCAAACTGTCAAACGGTCTAAAGGGGATCATTCTAGAAGATCAATAAAGTAATGCACAGCAGAGTACAGGACTGGATGAAGTAAATAATGACATCAGTCTCGTCATATTATGACTTTTTTCTGCACATATCAGAGAATACAGATGTGGGGGAGAGATTCTGAATGTGCAGAAAGTTTTGAACATGAGCAGAAATCCTGCTGAAACACAGGAGCTAATAGGAATTTATTACTTAAACTAAAATTAACCAGCCCATTTTTGGAGTTTTGTGTGCAATTATGTCCAATTTGCTTTTTTTCCTGCTTTTTTTTGTTTTGTTTCAATACACACAATAGCAAACTTTTCTGTGAGAAATACTTGATTTTCTGGAAAAATTTCAGGGGTGCCAACACTTTTGGCCATGACTGTAGATGAGCAAAGACTAATGTTACTCTACAGTTCAGTGGTTTATCAGTTAAGTGTCTGAACTACAGTGACAGACAAACAGATCTGTTATACACACTCATGTAAAATGTTCTCAAACTGTTGTAAATTGCCGTTAATAACTACCCAACTGTGACTGGCTGCCAGCATCTCTTCCCGTGTATGCTGGTTGTGAACCCACCTATGCAGGCGCATCTTACTTTCTGAATCACGCACGTTTTAAAAAGCAGGACAATACTGTGTTGTTGAATTTAGGCCAGGTTTTTATTGGTCAGTGGCACAATCGCTTTGTGCTACATCAAAAGAGCAATGCGCCAACAATGCCCCTGACCACACCTCATTTTAAGACCCACACTCCCATGGGCGCGCAGAGAGGTGTAAGTACATTTGCTACTAACACAATGTAGGCAATGGGTGTGAAAATGCAATGACAATTGTGCTGTGCGCCGCTTTGCGATGAGTGTAAGATAGGGGCCCTTAATGTGCGAAGAAGTTCCATTCATTTCTAATTTATTCATTATTCATCTCTCACCAGCTTCTTTTCCTTGCATCTTAGCGCCTCACAGTGAGGATTTGAGAGAGAGGGTTGCGAGGAAGAGGTGCAAGGACAGAGGAGCCAAAGCTGAGGAGCCATAGCACCAGTCTTTAAGCCACGTGAGTTACTTAAGACGCAGTTTTATCACACGTCAAAACCTCATAATCATTTGTTATTTAAAAACATCAAATATTTTCATATTGCGCATAGGTGGAAATCGCGGGGGGCTCAGAGGGGTCAGGACCCCCCCTCATCTGAAGGTTGTACCCCGCCCTAAAAACAAATCATTAAATAATATAATGATATATACTTAAAATAACTATGTAAGTAGTAAAACAATACAAATGCAAATGGGGCAATTAAAGTGCTTTTTAAGTTTAGAAACAATTTGAGTCCCCTCTCCCCCGGCCTCACAATGGTTTGGTCCACTGCCTGCTTTCCCCGCTTTAACTCCCTGGAGGCAGAGAAAGTTTGAACCGCTTCAATACTTGTGTTACTCAAGTAAGAGTGGCAGGGCTACTTTATTCACTTAGAACATCAGACAAACTGATTTTTTTTCTCTTTAATACAGTTGATGCCGAGTCATAATCATGACAACAAATTATGAAAACTGATGTGTTTTCCATGAGTCCACTATGTTATCTACTGTAACATTACCTAGCTTGTATGGTAGCTTCTAATAGCTTGTTGGATAGTGAGTCACCCACTACAGTTACAGATGCGCTAATCAATCACATAGGGACTGGAATAGGCTGTTTTACAGGTTAATCGGCTCTGGCCGGTGACCGAGGCTGAGTGGCGTCAAATATCCAATTTTCTGCCGGTCACATTGAATGTTACACCCGCAGTGTGTCACGTCATGCACACAGCGGCACAGACAGTAACTGGCTATTGTCACAGCCACATACACACACTTACACGCTAAAACATGTCTTAGGTGTGAAGGTTCTTCACTGGAGTGATGTATTCTTTCAAATATTTTCAATTAGAATATATTTTAAAATGACCTAATTTCTTTTGTCGGGTTTTATTTGTAGCTCCCTACAGTGAAAATGTGAATGTTATCTAATAATCATGTTTATGCTGGTGCTGATGGGGATCCTAAGAAAAACTACTAAGAAAAGTTACAAAGATGTTTGTGGATGCTGTCTGGTCTAATTCTTAGAAAGAAAGAATCTGAATCAGCAGGTCAGATCTTATATAAATCGGTAATTGGAATCAGCCAGGAAAAATGCAATCGGTGCATCTCACAGCAGGGTTAAATTAATTTTAAATTTTAAAATGCACTACTTTGGCTCTGATCTAGCTGCCTCTCTCTTTCTCTAGGTAATCACCAGGCTGGAGTCTTGCTTAATGTCCTGCCCACGGCACTGTCTGATTGGTTACAAGTTGCAAATAATAGCCTCAACACTCACAAGACACGTTCTGGTGAACAGCGGAGTCGTGTGTCGAAGGGAAGGCAGCCGATAGGAGGACTAAAGCTGCAATAAACTTCACAATCTGATAATGTGTTTCTATGACGACAAGTAGCCCAGTGTCCGTGTTACACCAGTCAACACGCCCGAACACACAGCTACGGAGTTTCACTTAATGACACTCTTGAAAAGGTGGCTGCTTTTAAATCAGTCTCTCTCCTCTTATCTACTCACTTCACTTCAGAGTTAAACACAGCATCCCCCCCCCACCCCCGGAGACAGGAGGAGGACGTGAGGAAGCATAAGTTAGTGCAATGAATAGCAGCCTCGGCCTCTCCCTTCCCCCAGCTTACATCCACTCTGCATCACTTTCTCTTGATTTGTACCTTAAACACCTCCATATCACATTAACCATAAATCTGTGCAGTGCCTTCATTAATGACCTACACACTCCAGGGTTTGATTTGTGTTAACCAAGTGGCAACCTCCGGGGCTGAAATATTAAGCTAACACTTCTGTTCATCAAAGCAGGCTCCAAAGTGAGTCAATCCCCAAAGACCTCCATGTTCCTTCATGGCAAATAAGGAGCTTACCTGAGAGGGAGAGCTCCCCTTTCTGACTTTCACAGTTTCTGATAAGGAAGGCGCCATTCGGGTTCCCTCCTGCCAGCAGCATCTTCTCTGCATCCTGCCTCTTGGTGTCAGGAAAATACCATCTGCAAATTAGAATCTGAAATTAAAATGAAAGCTCTGCATCCATCCATCAAGAATTGTGTGTGTGTGAGTAAATAATTAGCTTGAGTCAAGTCATCCGCTACTGCTTGATTTTGCTGCTTTATTTTTGGTCTTATCATTCTTTCTATACTGAAAAAAAAAAAAATCTGATTATTTTATGATAACGTTTATTTTCAATAGGGGTGTAACGAGATCTCGCAAGATTAAATTGTGACGATATTTCTCGTCAGGAAAAAAAGCTGTCTCGCAACACTCACACAACTGACATTTTTCCACATGCTGTCAAGCCACTAGGACTTTCCCCGACTAAGGATTTACGTAGTTGAATCAGAATTGTCCTGCCTATAGTCGACTAACTATATATAGTTAAACTGACGCTTTTTGAAGTCTGTTGTCAGATAACAGTCACTGGACTGACATTTTATATCTATTTTGATAATTATGTGACATTTAACAAAGCACAACATTATTACAGCGCAGTGATGTTGTGCTGTAGTTTTAACACAGCCGCATAGTAACTTTAGTCCTGCTAGTGTTTAACATTACAGCCAACAGCTGATGAGAGTTGTTCTGGGTCCGCTCCACTTCAGAGCCCTGACAGGGTTCTACCTGGATTCTGAATGTGCAGAAAGTTTTGACCAAGTCCATGAGTTTTTAACTGAATAAAAAAGGTGAAAAGGTGCCACGGTCACATTTCAAGAGGTGACTTCCCCAAACAAAGACACAGAAGAGGAGGGACTGAATCATGACTCAGCAGGGATGATGTCACATGAGAAAAGTTGATCTACAGGACAAAAAGCACAGAATGACTGAGAGTTGCACTGACTTCGATTCTATTATAATTAGGCTATAGATTTTGAATCGTCACCTGCCACATGAATTTTTTTTAAAATCACCATAAACTGGTGCAGAAAAATTCATCAGAATGCAGGAAATCAAATGTTTAATACTCCAAATTTTCATTTAATTTAGCATTAAAGATTTCTTTAAAATAATGTTAAAATCTCATCTGGATCTCGTGAAGCCAATCTCGAATCTCATCTCGTGGGTTAAGTGTCTTGTCACACGCGTAGTTTTCAAGCAACCAGTTGGGCATTGATAGGCTGCAGTTTATTTTCAGGCCTGTTTAAAATGTAGATATGCACTGAAACCAGCACTGAGCTGTGGCTTAGGGGCCTCTTGGCACTACTGACTTTAATGCATTTCTAAATGGCACAATACTGTTTTAGGCTATAGCCTAATTATAATTTGATTTACAGTAAGCTATATTTTATACAGTACTGTCTTACTGGGCAGGATATTTGAATTACACAGTACAGTCACTTAATTTGTAGAGTCATTTGAAAAGGGTTTGTGTTTTGAAACTGTAAAATTCAGTTAATGGTGAAGCGGTCCGTTTCTTTACTTTATATTCATGTAATAATTATAAAAATATAAATTGGATGGTAATCGGTATGAGGAATAAAGAAATTCAGTTACAATAATCAGGCACCTACAGTGATCAATGTGACCCAGACAGACGTGATGACTGTAAGGGGTTTCCACTGTATATCTTCTTCATCTGAGCCACAGAGCTCCATCACAAACACACAGTAGTTTACTTTGACTCTATCCCACATACACCATCCTGCTGCCATATAGCTGCTTGTGCAAAGAACCACAGACAGGCAGCAGAGTCAGAAAGTATTAAGAGCCGGACTAATTATTGTTAATAATACTAAGTGAGACTTTTGGACGATACCTGCGTTTGTGCTTTGCATGTTTCAACTGGTGTCAAATAATGCAGCACAGTGTTTTATTCTGTCCATATTTCTATTAACATTAATATATTTGAAGTATTATGGTGTACTGTAAGTTTTTTCCCCTAACATCAATTATTGCTCCGCATACTTATATATGTGATCAAGAACTTTGTCATTTTAATACTCTTTTTAGTGTGACATTTTTAGAATGACAACATTTGTCCAGGGACTACAGAGGAAAAATGGCTTACTCTGGTGTATTTACAGCAATTTTTATTGATATGCATTTGTTTTCCCCCCCATCTGGCCCTGATTTAAACATAACAGCTACAGAGTCATATGGCATTTAACCAGAACCTTTGTCCAGAATCCTGAACAGGTATTTAATCAGGTCAAGCTTATCAGAGCTGATCCAACACAAGAACTGAAATATGATACACTGATGTGTTGGCAAAAGGACAGTTTTATCCACATTTATTGGTGAAATGAAAACCCCCAACCCTTAATCCCTCATTAAAAGGCCTGACCTTTTAACATATCTTGTACCTTGTATTACATTCCAACACGCTGCTGGAGCTTTGATGAGCAGTATGATATGTTGAAACTAATTCTTCTCTACCTAGCATCACGTCATGTGATTTAGTGAAACTGTGACACAAATCAGGCTGAGACTCAAAGAAACTATGTTTATCCCTCAACAAAACAGGAAAGCCCAGAGAACAGCGGAGTAAAAACCGGTTTCACTGAGTTGCCAATAAGGCTGAGAATGACAAGAATCACAAATATGGCCTGGCATTTACCATGACATGACTTTTATCAACAATTAAGCAATGCAGAAACTGAAGAAAATAGTTGCTTCTCCTTTATTAGTCAAAACATAGCAGCTTTTTTTTTTTTAAACTATTTAACTATTCAGAATGATGTCATGGTGAGCAGCCTATGGAGTTGGCCATGAAATGACCAGGAAAAGCCCTTTAACACACTGTCGATGTTCTTGTGTTTCGGGCCTTTCCTTCATGTGAATTATTAACCTGCAAGGCTATTTCCTGGTCACAGACAATCATTAACTTAGGTTATTCCAAGACTTTGCTCCGTACACATTGTTCAGCACTAAAGACAGAAAAACACGAGCTGGGATCACATCTCAGCCTTTAACTCTGTTGACACTTTTGGAAGAACCAATTTTAGACAGTAAGTCATTAAAAGCACAGATCGGAATCTGTTTTGATAAAGGGGGGTCGCTGAGACAATACCAAATAGGATGATGATGGAATTATACTTACGGCTCTGCATCGATACTCTCCACAGGCGCCACATAATTAGCCGGGATGTATCCCTGTTTGGAGGCCGAGACCCCGGTGAGGGCTTTCGCAAACCACCATTCACCAGGGCTTTTATCCAGAGCCTCAAGAGTGTCCCCTGTGTTAAAGCTCAGGTCCTCCTCAGTGCGCGCGGAGTAATCATACAGGGCGATGTAATAATCCCCAGGTTTCGCCACTGGAAGCGGCGGTAACGATCTTTTTGAATGAAAGTCACCATCTGCGTTTTTATCATCAGCACCGGGATTTACAAAAACGGTGCCAGGCTTCCCATCAACTTCAGTTTGGTTGGGTTTCTTGAAACATGCCAAAACACGCACCCAACACGAAGAAAACATATTCCGGATCTCCATGATGTGGTGCTCAATCACAGTTAGTCATTCTGTGCCGGGAATAAAGACAGAAATAGTTGGAGGGAATCCCCTCTCCGAGCTCATGGTCCACCCTCCATTAAAGAGAGTCCTGAACAATCCCAGGACCAGACTGCACTCAAGGTCTCACACACAACAGCCTGGGGGAAGTGGGTGCCACGTAAATGTGAAGTTTCCTTGTACAGAACTGTACATGGTGTTCATGGTTCGTGTTCCAGTGTTCCAATCACCTGCACCTGTTGAGGAACGGGGAGCGGCTCACGTTCAGTGACGTGTTGTGCGCTCCAGCCGTCCTATTGGAGGACAGCACACATGAGCTGATGACTCGGGAGTTGTACGAAAGTACAACATTTTAGCATAAAATATTCCCTACACTCATACATATACATAGGCCTACATGCGCATACACACATTTAACCTACATACAGTGGCACATATAGGGGCGACCGGGGATGTTTGTAACATTTTTGACATTTCTGTCTGTGTCTTGGAGCTCTTTTAAGCCAGCCCTTTCAAAATGTGCTTCAAACTAGTTACATGTGTCTGCTATGGTGTAACTTTTATCTCTGCAACACAGAGATGCACTTCTTGTGTTTGAAACTAAACCTCAGAGGCCCATAGAGAATCCTACAAGTCTACCACTAACATTTGAACATAATAATAAAACAATAAACAAATGTCTGCTTGTGTGTGTGAGACACATACTGAAATTCTAAGAAAACATATAAATAAACATTTTCTTGGTGTAGCTAGGTTTTCATTGCTGTGACAACTTACCCAGACTCTTGTAGCCATGAACTTGCTAACCTTACAGCTTACAGCTAAAACATTAGCACTGACAACTTGCATGGAAGATATCTGCATAGACACAAAATAAACAAGATTTAAGTTTGAACTACAAAGCAAACAACGCTACAACAAGCACCTGCCACACAGCTAAACTGAGCATGTGCAGAGTGAATCAGGTGATTCGTGACTTGTTAGACCTTGTGTTAGACCCATCCCCAGACTCACCTACTGTAATGTACCTATATATAGTATACACATATTAATCAGCATGTGTTCACATATAAATCCAACACTTTACAAACCTACTGAAAGTGAAATAAAAGTCAACAATCCAACTTCTATACTGTACTTAAATGTGCTTTTGTGATGTAAATGAAACTGGTATGTTCCCATTTCAGTTTTTATTTTTGGTAATATATAATTATTTTTATCTCTTATTATTATGTTAAGTCACATACTAGTAACAGTTTGTTTTAAACCTTTGAATTTTTGAAATTAGAACAACAGAATGTTGTTTCACATGCTCTATTACTGTCAGCCATCCTGTTATAATATATAGTTCACTATAGCATCCTCAGGGATGGGACAAATGTTTACATTCTGTGGGAAACTTTCCTTGTTACAAAGAACTAATAAAAAGATTGTTTACGGTATAGTGATATACAGGGCAGCAGATTTCAACGATTTGTTGTCAATAAGATTGTAACCTGAGAATTTATTCTCAGAAAGTCAAAGGAATATTTTTTCGATGTCATCCAATGATATAGCAGCTAATTCAAAGCTGCAATTCCCCGCCTTCATAATCTTTTTGTCTATTTCCATACCTGTATTCATTTGAGAATTCATCGGGCGTCTGTGGCTCAGGTAGAGCGGGTTGCCCGTTAATCGGAAGGTAGGTGGTTCAATCCCCAGCTCCTCCAGGCCGCATGTCGAAGTGTCCTTGGGCAAGATACTGAACCCCGAATTGCCCCTGGTGGCTGTTTCACCAGTGTGTTAGTTTCTGTTTGAGCACTGAGGCTCAGTGTGTGAATGCGATGTAGTGTAAAGGCGCAATACAAATACAGAGCATTTGCATATTGGAACTAAGGTCATTTACCTTTGATTCAAACTGGTCAGCAGTAATTGGCAATGTGTACTGGTTGAGATTGAGAGCAATCTGACCAGCTGCATCACCGTGTGGTATGGCAGCGCTACTGCCACGGACCGCAAACGCCTGCAGAGAGTGGTGAAGGCAACTGAAAAGATCACCAGGACCCCATTACCCTTCCTGCAGAGCATTTAGCATCACAGAGTCCACAGAAGAGCTGCCTCCATTATCAAGTATCCCACCCACCCCCAACACAAACTGAACACACGTCTATCCTTGGGTCGGAGGTATAGAAGTGTGAAATGTAGGACTTTAGGAGTCTGATGGCAGTGGGGAAGAAAGAGTTCTTCGGTCCTTAACAGTTAATAATGGATTCCGTAAACATGCCCATCTTTAATTAAACTGTACCAGGCCCATGTTAATTGCACTGTTATTGCACATCTGCACACTGCTCCATTCACAATTTCCACATGTATATAATTCATCAGTTGCACAGCTGTTTATAATTCGTCTGCCTGCACGACGACAAAGTGTATATATTTATTTTAATTTTTTGTTACATCTGATGTTTACAGTTTTATATTTGAAGCTTATTTTATATCTCTATTTATTGTATTTTATTTATACATATATATTTATTTTATTTTTATTGTAGGCATTTGATTAGGACAGCAAAGTAAGAATTTCAGTGTACAGGGAAAGATGAACATCTGACAATAAACACTTTGAATTTTTGAATCTAATCATTCCATCAACATCCACACTAACAGGACTTTAACTACTTGACCTATCAAGCAGATCATTCATTTGATCTAATCCCTTTGGGATATTGTTTCTCTTAGTTGTTGGTCAGTCCAGGTGATGGTTTGGTTTTGATGGTACTTTTCCTGATAGGAGCATGGCGCGCAACAACATCTGTGAACAATTTTTTATAAAACAATCAACAGCACAGTCCAAATCATCCTCAAGATACACAAGTTCCCAGGGCACAGCAGCCACATCTCTCTGCTAGTCTTAAATTAAAGTTTTCGAAACTCTGTTTCCGTTGGTGTATTTAGTAGGCTAATGCATACAATATTATGATCTGTCCAAGATAACCTGGCAGATTTAGCATTTGAGCATACTTACCCAAATTTGTTTCTTGAGGATCATGTAGGCCTACCACTTGAAATAAATTACAAATCTCAGTATGCTGAGTTAGTTTTGTTAGTATTAGTTAGTGTTAGTATTGTTCCCATCAGTCCATTTACAAGGTACAAGGTAGTTTATTTATCATTATGATATGATAAAGGCCCTCTGACAGGGGCACCCTGTTGCAGTTAGTGCACCCTCCAGCAGCTAGTGGCACCCTGTAGCCGCTTCTTGCACTCTGTGGCAGCTAACAAATCCTCTGTTTTATTCATCTTATAAAAACATATAGGCAACTTAATTATATTGTAAATGAGAAACAATCAGCTACATGTTTACACATTTGTAAATGTGTTTCATGTGAAGAGAGGGGGTTTGGGGGTGCAGCAACCCGGTCAAGATGTAGAAGGGGGGGGTGTTGCCTATAAAGTTTGGGAACCGCTGTCATTTCACCCATTGTTCATGTAAAAATATTGAGTAGTGCAAGTTTAAAGCAGATATAATCAATATGTTTACATTAACAATGAATTTCCACCTTGTACACAAGAGTTGTTAACAGGGGCCCAACAGATAATGTTTGCCTGAGGGCCTCCTAGCAGTGTTATCCAGCCCTGTCTAGGCCTACTCGAATGCGCTTTCCATATTCATTTTGCGCATATACACCGTCTGTTACGGTTTCGTTACACACCCGGAAGCCCTGCGCGCTCGTGCATTCGTCTCTCTGCCGCCTTCTTCTGGCACACAGGAGTTGAACTTGGCTCCATATGGGCAACTTAGTGACGTTAACCGTTCAGTGCTAATCGATTCGGGTTTTGGATAACCGGCTGCTGAATCCTTTCTGCGGTACCGTAAGTGAAGACAGAGCAGCGCGTCTGCAGACTGCAGTCCTTTCCCCGCCGTCACATTAACAAAACACTAGTGTTGCGCTGCCGTTCACAAGTTCATGTGTGTGCAGTAGAGGCTCCGGAGCGCTTTCCCCGCAGTTCCCCCCAGCTTCAGCTACAATGAGCGAGTATTTCAGCCTGTCGGACTGTGATGTGATCGGGTTCGACCTGGACCACACGCTATGCCGCTACCATCTGAAGGAGACCTCCAGGGTGAGTGTGTGTAGCGCGTGCAGCTAGCTCCAATACATATTCACACGGTGGCCGTGGCGCTTCGATCCGCAACACATCTGGTTTAAAAATAGCACGGAGCGGTCAATACGCCCCGCTGTCACTTGTCAGCTCTGTCTCGCCTGTGCGAACACAGTGCGACGAAAATGCATAGCAGTGAACGGAGAGATGCGATGCTCCTGATGCTGCAGTCACTCTGCGTGACTCACAGGTTGAACGTCGGCGGGGATGATCATACATGTGTTTAAATCCCCAGTGAGGCCTGTTGGCAACAGCATCTGCTCCTACCATAATGCATTTGTTATAATGAGCTGCAGTCACCGCTGGATTCTGTGACACCGAGTGACAAAACATATAAATGACTGCTGAATCCCAGCCAATCATTATAGCTTGGTTTATCAGACCTGGAGTTCATTTATGCTCTCTCCTGTCCCATGCATGTCACATGTATGTCTACTAATCCTGTCAGTTAAAAGCATAGTATGTAACCTTTCTGCATTAAAATGTCTAAAAACAACTAGCCCTACAGATTGTGATAGATTTTGGGTTGTGTATATTATCCCAAATGTTTCCAACAATATTCAAACCCAGAGAAATCCATCATTTTAAGCTTTCATTTGCCAGTCAGTGGCATATCATATGGATCCCCTTTGCTCATGCTTCAGTGTTGTGTGTCATGAATGAATTATTTATCCAGTGTTAACCCACATTCTTTCAACTCCTACATTTTAACCTGTGAAGGATTTTAGTCATTGGATGCCTGCATCTTAAGTTTTCGGAGAAACAAGCTCAGCATCTGTTATCCACATACAGCGGCGGAGAAACACAGATTTTTAGCAAAAAACGACTTTATTCAGGTTATCAGGCTTTTTTGGAGAGGAGGAGGCCCCTGAGGATGATCGGCTTCTGGCAAAAACCTCCTGACACTGTCTGATGAAGTAACGTGGGACGTCCATGTCACTTCACATCATCAAACTGCGTCTTTTATTGTTTTGATGTGAGAGACCCATATGGACAGAAGATTACTGTGCAGAACCCGAGGATAGAGAACCGCAAAAGGGTTGGCTACTACTGACAGGATTAGTTTGGTGAATTGGTTGATTTAATTGAAAACCCTCTCTTTATGTAGATGCAGTGTTAAAATCCAGTGCATACTGGATAATGAATATCATTGTGATGACAGTCACGAGTTAGGCTACATGTTCCCCATAACCGGCTGAAATTACGTGATTAAACTTAAAGGATAATTTTAGTGTTTTTAAACCTGGGCCCTATTTTCACATATTTCATTTATTATATTATATTTCGTATTACAAATGACTAGTAGGTACAATGTGTTTTGAAATCCATGCAGTAGACGGCTTCAGCCGCAAACCGGCTGCCGGGGCTCCAACGTATTCCTTCGGGGCAACTGTGTCCACGAAAAGTGCTTCTTTTTGCCACCAACAGGCTCAGACCGTTAGCTGTCTGACAACATCATGGAAAGGATCTAGGGCTGGGCATTAAAAAAATAATGGTTGATTTTTCTCAATAACAATATAACAATTGTTTAATAAATGTTTAATTTAATTCATTTGAATCTTGAACGAATCAGCACTTGTTTTTTTTATAAAGATATTTATTTTGTTGAGGAAAAGGGACTAAAAAGATTTAACTTAATTTTACTCGTGCATATTTATGGAAGATTTATTTATGAAAAGATTTTATCATCATTTTTTTGAATGTTCTACCTCAGATTTGTGAAGTGATCCACTGTTTGGCATCAAATGTTGTTTCTGAAAAACTAACCGTCTGGTTTCTTAAATTTCCCTCGGGAGCAAAAATCAGCCTTTAAACTCTACATTTATTGTGATTATTATTGATATTGATTGATTTTTTTTTTTATTGTGATACCATTCTTGGCCATATTGCCCAGCCTTAAAAGGACCCCTACGCCATGTTTTTGACAAGAAACAGATGTCTCTGTCAAGGACAATTCTCTTTGGAAACTCGTCTTGTGTTGGAGTAATGTTAGGAAATGTTAGCAGCTCCTTAATGTTCGCAACAAACTCCTCTCCGTCGTTTCCACCGCAGATCCCTGCAACAGCTCGCCTTTAAAATCATTAAGATTAAGACCATGCCTTTAACCAGAGAAGGATGAAATGTTCTTTGGGTTGAAAGAAAAACCTGTATATTCTTGGCATCCAGAGGGGCATGGCTGCATTTCATTGTTGTTGTCATCTGCGTTATGACTGTGCTGCTCACTGCAGTCAGTGATGTTATCTCGCTCTTGTTTTTGCAGCTGATCTATGAGAGCTTTGCCAGGTATCTGGTGGAGCATAAAGGCTATGACAAGGACCTGCTGAACCTAACCTCTGCTACCTGGGATTTCTGGTGAGTCAGCAGCAGCAGTTCCCCCAGTCTAGGGGGAAACGATGACATAAAGAGGTATAATGAATACCTATATCTTTCAGGGATATACGTCTACTACCTGTGGCTAAAAATACAGTATTTGAATCACAGTGTACCAACCTGCACTTCATCACTGATAAACATAGATCTTCCTTTATTTATTGCTTTACCCAAGTAAAGTCCAATATCCACACTGGAATGCCACTGTATCAGGCCCCTAAGGATTGCAAGTATTTCTGAAATCTGTCTTTAACTTCAGTATTCACAAGCTTTTAGCACAGAGACACTGAACACTGGAGTATAGCACTTAATACTAAGGCTAGGCAATAAAAGAATAATGATAATTATCGCAATATAATTTTCCTCAATAACAATATAACAAATGTCCAATTTTTTTTTGATTTGCTAGGGAAAAGGGTATGACATCTTTTCAGCAGATAACACAACCTGCAAAACTTTCTGACTTGCAAGGAAAACCTTTTGTCTTTCAATCAACGAGGAAAAATTAGCAATTAAAACTTTTTGTGACACACAAAAAAAGCCTGTTTGTTTTTAATTACAAACCTGATGTTTGATTGCAGCTCGATAAATATGCTCTCAAAACTTTTTTTTTGCTTGCATTAAAAAGACACAAAAATAGCTTTGCCATCAATATGACAGAAGATTCCAATGTATGGTAGATGAAGAATCTTGCATATTTATTTCTTGCAACAAATAAGAATGTAATTTAGGCAGTGACCAGCAGAAGTGGCCATTTGGGAGCCAGTATTCAGTATTCTCATGGCTCCGCTCAAAGTGCCGTGATTCCCATTACTACTACACTGTTTAAGTCACCTGTCAAATGTAGCCTTATCAATAAAAACATAGCTTTGAAGTAGTTTGAAAGGCTTATTTCTTTACTTTTATTGGAGCTTCCTGTAGGCTTGCAAACAGTCTTTGTGCTAAGCTAGACTAACATGCCCTAGACTTGCTATATGTCTATCTGCACAGAATGTTTAAAGCACATGTTTACGTTTTTTACCATTTGTTATTTGAATTTTCCATTTCGTGCCATTTCAAATAATCCATAATTGTCCATACTGCATTTATATCACGCTTAATTTGGTGTCCAGTTTTAAAGGGCTAGTGGTGGATCTGGAGGATGGAAACCTCGTGAAGCTGGCTGAAGATGGAACCGTCTTGCGGTATGCTCTGGATGCAGGAAATGTATCTAATCTGCTTCCCAAAACATCTCTTTAATTCTTTTGTCAAAGTTGTCATTGTTTTTCACACACCTTTAAAGTGGAATAATGAAAAAGTTTTATTTCTTGATTCATTAGAGCGACACATGGAACCAATGACCTCAGCACAGAAGAGATCATCAAACATTATGGTCCAAAAAGGGAGTGGAAGCACTTTGATAGCCTCAATACCTCCTTCACAAGATCTGGTATAATTTTCTATCCATCTTTATTACCTAATAGCTGTAATGCTGTTGGCTCTTCAGTATGATAATGTGCTATATCTGGGATTTTTTCACATAGATTTAATTGATTTAACTTATCACTTCTTTTGGTCTTTGCAGCAAAGTACTATTTCTATGACAACTACTTTGATCTACCCGGGGCTCTCCTCTGTGGAAGAGTTGTCGACATGTTGCATAAGGTAATATCTGATAAGGTTATGGTTAATATAATGTTATTAGGTTAAGACTTTCATGTGGAAAAAGATATTAAAATGTGACTTTATGTTTTTGTGAATAGCGAGGAAATGAGGTGAATTCTGACTTTTGGAAAGACATGGTTGCTGCCATCGACCACAATTACAACACATCTGCATTCAAAGGTATGCCTTTTATTCCAAAGCAGCACATATTTTGGTTTATTGCGTATTTCTAATGTCTTAACGTCAAAGACCCATACAGTTAAGGGGAACAACATACACAATAAACAATTCTTTTTCAAACTAGAACTTTTATTCTGTGTTTTGGTCAATAAGTTGTACATAACTTAACGTATCCAATGGGATGTAGTTGTTTTGAAAAAAAAAATGCAGTTTGAATTTCTCATTCTGTGTTGTTTGGCTGGTCACAGTGCTTGTGAGAATGTGCTGATGGTCTAATAACATAGTATAACAGTTTTGTGTGTCTTGTATATTACAGGAAAATTCTTAAACAACAGACATTAATAAAAACAAACACAAATAAAAGACATGCTGTAAATGTTACAGGCAGTTGTAAAGCACCACTTACGATATCATCCAATATTGTTTAATGTTTCTTAAAATTGCAGGCACATACGGTGAACTGGGGAAAGGGATCAATTTGACCTATATATTTAAAAAATTTACTCAGAATTAATACCTCTTTCAGTCAAGTCATTAGTTAGCAAATTGAAGACCTTTTTATTGTTGTAGAGATTAAAATAAGGCTGTTAAACTTGGTAAAAGTACAACCATATTTTTCTTTAATCTACAATCTCAATTTGGAATTTGGAAGTAATTCTCTGAGTAGTTCATTGTTTTGTAAGATTTTGAGGTTTATTTGGATTTGTGAAATCACGTTGAGGCGATCAAGAACCCAGAGAATGAGCAGTGAACATTATCTGCTGCAAATATACCATTACTCTCCTCATCAGGGACCTGGATATAGACTCTGTCACCACCCTGCAGCATAAGAACAGCACTGCCTGACATCTGATCGAGGAAGCCCTTGTTGTACTCATCATAGGTGAAAACTAGTGGCTCCTCGTTTTTGTAGAGGGCCACCAGTGCATTGGCACCATTGACATGCATATGATAGCTGAAATAGTAGAGACCTGGGATCTGGCAGGTAAACACACCACTGTTTGGGTCATAATGGTGCTCCCCATTGTACAGAACATGGCTGAACTGAATAGGGGTTGCAGCTGGAGGGTAAGCCGTAGTCAGCACAGCACTGAAGGCGGACATGGGGGCCTTCATCATCTCATGAGTCATCACAACCTCGTGGGACTTGATTGGCATGCTCTTCTCATGGTGGTAAACTATCTCTCCTGGAGGGCCAGGTGGACCAGGAGGACCGGTAGGTCCTGGGTGACCATCTTGACCTCTGGCACCTGGAATTCCAGGTGGCCCCTGAGGACCAGAAATTCCCTTAGCTGTCAAGCCAGCTGGACCGGGTGGGCCTGGAAGACCTGGATGGCCCTTAAGCCCAGGAGGACCTGATGGACCGGGGGGCCCGCTTGGTCCCATGGGTCCTGGCCTTCCGTTCTCACCACTTTTTCCTGGTGCTCCTCCGGGGCCTGTGTGTCCTTTTGGTCCTGGGGCGCCATTTGAACCTGGAAGTCCTGGGGCACCAGCATGGCCTTGTGCGCCCTTTGGACCCTGAGGACCATTATGACCTGGAGTTCCTGGAGGACCTACAGCCCCAGGGCTACCTGGTGATCCAGTGAAACCCTGAGCTCCCTGCTCACCTTTGGTTCCCCTGGGGCCTGGTGCACCTACCATACCAATATCGCCTTTGGGTCCTTGTGGGCCTGCCTCACCTTGGAACCCTCTTGCACCTTGTGGACCAGCTGGGCCAATAGGACCAGGAGCACCTGGTTGACCAGTAAAACCAGTTGGGCCTGGCTCTCCTTTCTGACCAGTGGTTCCTGAAGTACCAGGAGCACCTCTGCTACCTGGTATTCCAGGTTCACCTGTTTTTCCAACACCTGGCATGCCAGGGGAGCCTGGCTGACCAGCAGGACCCTGCGGACCTTTAGCCCCCATAGGTCCAGGCATACCTGGGGTACCATTCTGACCTGGTTTACCTGGTGCTCCTGTGCCTGGAGCACCTGTGTGACCCTTTGGCCCTGGCATACCCATTGGCCCAGGACTACCATCTCTTCCTGGCGAGCCACTTTTGCCAGGTTCTCCAGGATAGCCAGGGGCACCAGTTTTACCTTCTCCAGGTTTGCCTGGCATACCAGATGGGCCCATTGGTCCAACTGGGCCTGATGGTCCTTGAACCCCAGGAACTCCAATGCCTCTCTCTCCTTTGGCGCCAGGAAGACCAGGAATACCAGGATGTCCCTTCAGACCAGGCTCTCCTCTTGGTCCCATTGCCCCAGGGAAGCCAGCAGGTCCAGGTTTTCCAACAGAAGAAAGTCCAGCAGGTCCAGGTGTTCCAGGCGTACCAGGTGCACCTCTGGGACCCATTGGTCCAGTTGCACCAGTTGCACCTCTCTCACCAGGAATACCAGGGCTACCTGGTTTTCCATGGCCACCTGGGGGACCAGGTTTACCTGCTTGGGAGTAGCCAGGGGGTCCAGGAGGTCCTGGTGGGCCTTTTGGTCCAGGATGTCCTACACCACTCTTTCCAGGAGGTCCAGGTGGTCCCATTGGTCCTGGCTCACCTGGAGGACCTTGAGGACCTGTATCCCCTACGACGGCTAGGGAACACATAGATACACAAGATGAAATTATTCAGGTAATATGATGCACACATCATAATGTCATTATGTCACAGGTGTATTTTTTAGATAAATTTAGTCTGTTGTACTGAATCATGAGCTTTACTGTAAAAAAAAAATGTACTTCACAGTATCCCAAATGATGTTGTAGATGGATATAGAAAACAAACATACAAGCTTACAATACAGACAAATAATATCCTCCAAAGAAATGACAAACTGAAAAAAGAGGCATGGCTTCAGTTTGAAGCATTTCCAATTATTCTCCTCTTCAGTGCATTAAGCCTCCTTGGTTGGTGTTCTCCGTAAGACCATAACCTGATTTAGAACACTTCCTCTATGATTGTAGGGTGGGTTGTGGGGCCGCACTCTCTCTCCCAGGATAGTCCTCACAGCACTGGTCTGAGGGGATATTCTCACCAAGCTTATGTCTGCTGGCATGGGAACCAACACACCAGTGGTACCACTATACTACAACCTGTAATTTCCAGCACTGGCCCTGAATGTATAGTTAGTGGTCTGCAAGTTAACATCACCTTGATGCATTTCCTTTCATGATGTGTAGAGTTTATGGATACCATCAAATGAGTGTATATATATATGCACTAAATTAGTGTATGATGTATGTTTTTTATTTTACTGGAGGTAAAACAAAAAAGCAGGGAACCCAGTTTTTTTCTTCTCTTAAATCATTAATTAAATTAAACATATGTTGACATTTTTATGCATTTTACTAGTTAGCTTAAAGCTAATTTACATTGTACAAATGTAACGTTAATCATTTCTTTAATATCTGTCTATCTGTGTAAAGTCCCAGCTAACTATATAAAGAGTTTAGGCACCATTTAGGATTTGCAATGAAAATAATAATAAACTATCTATCTCGTCTACCAAGGCAAATTAAAAGGCATTAACGATAGAGTCCAGGAACTATCCTCTGTGCAAAGTATATCTGAGAAAATTGCCATCGCACTACTTTCCCATATACACTATTATTCTGGATGCATTATTACCAGAAAAACAAAAGCATATCCTGTGAAAGAATCAAATCCAGTAGTGTTGGCCTCTCTTTTGAAAGGCTTGTTGCTTTGAGAAGAACCTTTTTTCACAGGGCCGTCATTTCCAAGCCACATAAGGCTGAGCCTGAAAGCCCACATGGGATATTTGTGCCAGAACTGGACACTTTGGCAGCCAGAAACACCACAAATTAGAGGTGATAATACTGGCCACAGTAGCTGAACCGTGTGTGACCTGTTAACACTGCTATACTATCATGCAGTACTATCATGCAATATAGTGTAGTACCAATATTCATTCTCAGTTTGGTTGCCCCTATAAACACCCCCTTTAGTCGGAGACTGTAATTCTTTTTTTAACCCGTTGTCCTTTATACTGAAAAACCTGTCTCAATTATCTCAGCCACAGAGTGCTGGTGTTGTGTGGTGTTATTTCAATACCACAAAGTGGTTTGTTAGGGCGTGCCTGCAACGTGGTAACAACATCTGTTTTGAAGATTTGTCAAAATTGAGCTCCCATTGTCAACTTTCTATTCTCTTTTTTATGTCGAGGCACACAGTCAAACCACATCAGAAACCTCTTCAAAAACAAAACTTGAGAAATAAATTCAACTGTTGATCGCAAAATTTGACTCATTGTTTAGCTGGGTTATAAAATATAGTTTTATACATCATCCTGGCAGCTACATGACCACTGCTTTGGGTTTTCTTTATGATACAGGCAAAAGGGACAGTTTCCTTCTTTAACCTTTATTTATTCAGAGCACAAGTGCTCTTTTACAGCTATACCCCACCTCACAGTTATATACAGTTATACACATTCACAGCAGTACAGCCAGCTCAACCACAGCCTTCTGCTTTCAGCCAATGAGACGTTGCACTAGACCTGCTGGGTGTGCACCTTCATGACGGTTAATGAAGGAGGACGGCGTTTTGGCAGCCTCATTTACTGATGTGTGTGAGCCCGCAGTCTGTCAGGTTGAATAAGAAGGTATCTTACAAAAAGGTCAGGGTGGTGCTGATGATAATGATGATTAGGATAATGAGTTGAATCTGTTAATTAAGAAATATGTCGTATTTGTCAGGTTCTTTAAATGACGCAGTAAACTGCCATATTTCCACTATACATTCACAGCCATCAACAGCTCACATTATGATTTTCAGATCAGTGGTTAAAGTTATTAATTAATTCGAGCTGACAGTGAGGGGTGTATCATGACCTTTTTTGAAGTGCAGTGATATGCAAGCTGTAATGATATTTTTATTTATGGATTGCTTTAAAACATCTTTGGCGTGAGACTGCTCTGTTGCTTTTCAGCATCACAAGTTATAATTCGGTCAGCATATGTCCTATAAATTCCACCAGAAATGAAGTGTCATCTGGTGTTATTTTGCA